GTGTGTGTGTGTGTGTGTGTGTGTGTGTGTGTGTGTGTGTGTGTGAACACAGAAGCATTCACAGATATCTACACAAACACCCAGGCCCGCAGAAAATGCTGCCAACTGACCCAAAAGCGGCCCTCGGCACTTTTTACTGCTTTAAAAAAAAGTGCCCGAGAGAACAGAATTGTCAAGTTTGGAGCAGCATTCCCTGTCTTCTCGGTTAGGGACCCCGTGACATTACAAAATAAAATATTCCAAGAACACTTTATTTGCAAATTTAGTTGACTCCTTACCTAAATCGGAGACTTTTGATTTCCTTTCTTGATATATCCCTCCAAAATTAATTTTCCTCTTTCCCCCTTCTCCCCGTTTTTTAAAAAAGCAAGGTAATCCTTTGTCACTAGTTGTCAACTATCCAGAAAATATTTAGTATTCATTTAATTCTTTCAAAAAGAGCTGATGGAAATATAGAAGAGGTAATTTTGCTTTTACATGTATTTGTTACTTTTAAGAGACTGGGATATTTAGCTTAACAGTACGGCCTCTTAATTTGAGTTGGTTTACTAACCCTCCATGGCACAGAATGGATGGTCCTTTAAAAAGGGATTGGGGGACAAAAATCAAGCATGCTCTTTTTCTTGTGCTTCTCTCAGGGTCACTTAGAATGCAACTAAATAGAAATGAAGGCATGTGTGAATTTTGTGTATTTCAATACTGGAGGACCTGATGGCCTTCATTAAAGAAACATAATAAATAAACTGTGTAGCGTCTCAACTTCAACCATTGCCAGGTACATTGCTCTCCACTCTAGAATTTTATAGTAAATTCTCTTTAAAATAAAACATAGACTCAGTGGCAAGCCACTCACATCGTGCCTAAGGCCCATCTCGAAAGGAAGAATTTAAAAAATCTAACGATCACATGTGTGTTTACAGTTGCTCAGCTTTGTTAAATCTCAGAAGTAGCATTTAAAAAAAAAATACATACACAATTCCTGTGCCTCAAATGACTCAGTCATATGGAAAAGACATCCTCATGTATGTATTTTCATCTTAGGGAAATAGGAATTTGAGTTGAGATGAGAAGAAACAGTTGAAAACATGGATGTTAGGAATTACACTCGTATTGAAGCGGCAAGCACATGCAACATGTATATTCCAGAAGTACCGAGGTTTCCAGAGCTCGGAAACTTGGAAATGGTCAAAGACTGGCACTATTACGAATGTGTTAAAATAGGAGAAAGTTTTCCAAAATCAATCAGTGCTGTTTTTGAATTTATTTTCGGGGGGGGGGGGAAGCTAATAGGTACGCTAAGGGGACAATTTCCCATTGGCAGTCCCTTTTTTAATTAGAACAGATTTCTTCATTACATTGTTCCAGAAAAATAAACTCAGACGTACCAATAAACTGCTTTCATAACAAGTTTGTGAAGTGACGGGGCCAGTAAGACTGGAGATTCATCACTTTTCTGGTGTTTATCCTGATCCTTTTTGTAAAACTGAGGATAACTGTGGATTGGCGGTTCCCCCTTTAATGGCCTAGATGCCGAGAGAGATCAGACACAATTTTGGGACAGGGAAATTTCTCTCTCTACAGCCCCACTGATATGCTGTGGAAATGAAATATCTCTTCTGTAAAGCCGTGTGGGGCTTTCTTTTTTCTTTCTTTCTTTTTTTTTTTTTTCTTCTTTCTTTTTTCTTTTCTTTTGGAATTTGGGCCTATATAGCTATAAGAATACAATTAGTGAAAACTATTTTTAAAGGCCCCCAAAGAAATCTTTGATACATTAAGTGTTTTCTACCCTTTTTTCACCCCACAAAACGAAATCACCATGAAGCTTTCTTTTTGGTTTAACAATGTAACTCTACTTAGCACATATTGTATCTGTTTCCTTTCCTTACTCACACCTTCATAAGATACATTTATTACTTACAAAGTAAACCACTAGTATTTTAGACACAATGTATGTATTTATTTTGATACTCTTGAATTTTGAAATGATTACTCCTCTGCTGTGTAGTCAGTCCATAGAGCGTGCTTCTGGTTTCTGTTCTCCAGGAGGACGGGTGTCTATTTTTTTTTTTTTTTAACTTTCAGAGGGATTAAAAAAGAATTGCATGCGTCTTGAATGCCAGGGGCTTGCATTTATCTTTACACACTAATTTTAGTTAGCACACAGAATTCCCTCAGCCAACAGCCGATTTGATCAGTATTTTGTGTCCAAAACAATATCCTGCTGCTAAGTGCTTCCACAGTAAAATCAAGGGAAAGGTATTGTTTTGTTCCTCAAGTATATTCCGAATGCAGACACACTCAAGAACCAGGTAAATCACTCATCTAAGAGGCGGAATTGTATTTATTTTTTTCCCCAATGGGTGCAAGGTCCTAATTGTAAATAATTGAATTTCAACACCTGCAAATAAGCGGTGTGTGCACAAGAGGCATAATGTGAACACAGAGAAATGAATTTACTCCCCATATGGGTATGTTTGCCCCTGGCAATGCATTTCCATACTGTTTAACTTGGGGACGGAAATTTTATAAATTGACAGTTCTGCTCAGAAGACCTTTCAAGCATCTTGTGTTTATGAGAATACGGGGAATCTGCGGAATGAATTCGAACACATGGGTGAATTAAATTTGAACACACACACACACACACACACACACA